AAGGGTGCATATGTACTAATTTTTTTTTCAGCCAACAATCAATAAATTCTGTCCCAAAGTTCAACATTTTTGTCTGTCTGATGGTAGTTTCTTTGGTCTGTTGAATTAAAGTAAAATTAAATACTTTTTAAAAGACAAAAAAATAGAAATTGTTTTTGTTTTTGTTTCTTGAGATACTGTCTTGCTATGTAGTCCAGGCTCACCCTGAACTCACTGTGTAGCCTAGGCTGGCCTCAAATTCACAGAGATTCTCCTGCCTCAGCCTCCCGAGTGCTGGGCTTATAGGTGTGCACCACCAAGCACAGCAAAAAATAGTATTTATTGAGTAGTATTTATTGTTACAAGTCTGTTTTGGCTTTCCTTTCTTTTTTCCTTATTCATAACAACGGGATATCTCAAACACTGCTCACCTTAATTCTATGGTGGTTATTTCTGATGGGTGCAAATGGCAGTGACTTGAAAATCTTTTACGTCTTTTCTTCTGTATTTTGAACTATCTATCATGAACATATGCCATTTTCCATTGCTACAAAAACAACAGAATAGATTTTCTTTTAAAGAAAGAAGGAAGCAAGGTAAGGACGTTGGTAAGCAAGGTAAGGAAGTAGGTAAGGACGTTGACTTTGGGTTGTGGGAATGCAGTTGTTTTTTTCTTTGTACTAATCTGTACGGTTGAGGGATAAATGGGAGCTGGAGGCTAGACCTTTCATCACTTCTGCAGTGAGGTTAAAATGATATCAAAGTCTCTCCCATCCCTCCCATTGAGAGGTCCAGATTTCCCTTCTGCCGGGTCCCGGACTAGTCCGGTGATCTGTCTTGCCCAACATAATGTGGTGGAAAACATTGAACCTCCCCACTCTGACTTCTGGGGAAGTGCTGGTTCTGCCTTCACCTCTGATAAATCTCCCTCTTGCACACCAGTCACCATGACTACTCTGTTAAAGACAGAGGCCACACAAAGGTTGTCCCCTTCTCAGAGGTGCCAGTCCAAATCAAGCTTCTTCCTACCGGACTCCACAAGGCACTGCAGGTGATGCCACACTTTGAGCAGAACAACCACCCAGCTGCCCCTGCTCCAATTCCTGATCCCAAGAATTACAAGCACATGACACAGCTGTTGCGCTAAGCCACCGAGTTTCAGGGTGCTTTTGTGTGCAACAGAGATAATTCATTTCATAAGCTTCACTTTCAATGTAGAAGTTAGCTAAACAATAAGTGACAAAACTTTACTGCTTATCGCCAAAGTGGTTATATTTTATACACTATGAAATAAGAAAAATCACCACAGACCACCACTCAGAGTAAAACTTTGATATATGCAATTGCTTATATTTTTGCAATATTTTTTTTGCAGTATTTTTTTCTCGTAGCACTTTTACTTGAAGAGAACAGAGGTCTTATGTACATGTTTTGTGACCACTATTTTCATGGGAAAAATAACTCGCGAGCATCCTCAGCGTGCTTACCATCTTTAGCAGAGCCCAGTCTTTAGTTTACTTGAGACGGTGACGGACACCGATAGGGCACTCAGAATGCTGGCAGCACAGGCACCTTGCACATAACAGGAGCTCAATAAATACTTAATTGAATATTTTATCTTGCTGAATGAATGGCAGGACAAGCACCTTCTTGACTAGCTAAAGCTCAGTGCAACTCTTTCATCATCACCTTAGGGGAAATTCTGGAAATAGGTCAAAGACTAGGCACGTCTCTCAGGCAATTTAATCATGATACGTATTGCCAAATTATCCTCCAAAACTGTTTTGTCAAATTGCATTGCACAGATTGGTGCCCTTTCAGTGGATTTCAGTGGACTGCTTTACACCTCAAGCGCTCTCTAAAGCATTACTTGGTTATCCACAGGGACAATGTAAGTTCCAGCAGAGTGAGCACTGGGTCTCCTCCTCATTCCCATTCCTGGTCATGAGCAGGAGAGGCCTGCAGGTGAGGTGAAGGTATTTCACAACTAGCCAGGCACACTGTTCTTATGGTACTACTGATTATACCTGCAGACAAATGTACTTTGTTCCAGAAACTTGAGCCTCGTGGTGACTGTGCCTCACGCTGAGTACCTGTATCTCTGAGTACCCAAGTCTCTATACGTATAAAATATTCATATATAATAGTAATGCGCCTCAATTTTTGTATCATTCAGGCAGACGGAAGTGTAAAGTATGGGGCTCCAGCTTCATTTGGGTGCTTGATTATTTGACTCAGTTTCAAAGGCACAGGTTAACAGGTAAGAGTTCAGGATCTTAAGTAAGACAGACTGTGATGAACTGGCTTTGCTACTTGTTAGGCATATAGTCTTGGGCTGGTTATTTAACCTCAGAGCCTCAGTTTCCCCATTTGTAAAATCAAGATGATGGAAATACCTGCCTCATAAAGATTGTCATGAGGGCAGGGGAAGTCAAGGTGGGAAAACGGCAAGGGGAAGGTATGAAAAGAGACTGAAAATCCACAGCAAGCTGGAGTATGGAAGGGATATTCATGCAAGGGACTGAGAAGCCATTCACTGAAGACCTCCCAACAAAGCCTAAAGCGTGTCCAGGTTTGAACTTGCCACAGGTAATCAGGTGACAAAGGAAGCTGTATCTATCAAACATGGACCAAGTAGGCCTCAAGGAACTGTTCCAACTCTTGCTCCAAAAACTCTCAGTGACTTAGTGAGGAGGAAGTTAGTGAACCAGTGGAAATTTTTCTAGAAGCAAAGAAGAGGAAGAACACGGAGCTCTGCCAATACCAGCTGGACCGCACTTCTTCAATAAAGGGAAGCATGGATTTTCTGGTGGCCGGAAGCCATGGCAGTGAAATAAAAACCTCAATTTGGCAATGTCCAAGATCAAGATAGTTCAATGATATATTCCGAAACTGGGATGTATGAGTAGGCATAAAGTTCAAAGGACGTTTCCTTTTCAAAAGAACGGTGTAGGACTATCGTTAGGTCTACTGTTTCCTCTACACAGAATAAGTGGTATACTAACAAATCAGAATTTGAAAGTAAAAGTAACTTATGCTTTACATCACATTTGAAGACATTTGCTAATTTTATTGCTTTATGTAATTAGTTTTCAAAAGTTACAGGTAACAAAGAAGTTCCAGAGGGAAAATGATTATTTTAAGTCTTAGTTAAGTAAGGTAGTAGAACCCAAGATGAATGAAACTGTTTGGTGATAATCTGGCAATAGTACATGCTGAATAAACAGCAGGGCTGGGGATGTAGATTAGCAGTGAAGTATTTGCTTAGCAAAGAACAAAACAAAACTTATTCACTTCAACATAATCTGAGTGAAAAAAAAACATATCTTAACTATAATTTTAATTCTCTATTTTCAGGTGACATATAGCTCATGTATTTTATATACGCTATATATATATATATAAATGGCCATCTTTTAAATTCAGTCTTTGTGATTTTAGGCTTTGTTTAAAAATTAGTATCAAAGGAGTTTTCCCTTTCAACAGGTAAATGGAATAAAACTGTAAGAATAATTTAAAATGCAATTATACTAATTAAAATCTTTCAAGATTTTTTAATCTTTAAAAAACTATTGGAGTTATGTTATCAATTATACTGCTGAAATTATGTTGCAGTAACCTAATTTATACTTCTCCTTTGCTTATACAGTGGGATTCAACTATTTAAAATTTGGAAATTACCTACTATTTGATATTTGGACCTAAGTGGAAAAGAAGTTCACTTAAAATTAAACTTCTATAGAACTGAAGCCATTTTTTAAAAGCATGCAACTCAGTTCACGTGAAAGTCACATAGATCAACACGTACTTCCTGTACATTTGTAAGTGAAAAAGGGTTGAAAGATATTTTTAAATGACCAGAATATGAAAAAGAAACATCGTTCTTCTTTTGGTCTTACAACACATGCAGGGAAAAAGGCCCCCTGCGTGGTGGAAATAAAGGGAGAACATGTCACTAACGAAACCGTAAGTCCTCATCTGTAAGGGAGGGGTCTTGATAAAATGGCCTTGAAGGTTTTGTCTATCTCTTAAGGCTTTTCATTTTATTCAATACTGTTCAGGCTTAACGGGTATAGATACAAAAAAGCAACTTACATGAACACTGACTTTTTCCTAAATTACTCAGATTCCTTACAATAGGCTATAGGAAAGGAAGATGGAGAGGTTAGGCAGAGAAGGGCAGCGATAAAACCCAAATTTCCCTTTTAGTTTTCTCTGCTCTGTTTGATTACTCTGCATGCTTTAAGTATTGTTACAGCAAAGTAAAGTCGCTGAAAAATAATCTTTTGCTGGGGATTCTTTAAAATGTTTTTGTTCTCTTTTAAGCGTTATTTATAAAGGTTTCCAGATGCTTATCCTCACAGATTAAACACAGCATGATGTAGACACTTACAATAACATCCACTGCTATGAAGCCAAGAAAAAACTACTTTGAGATCTAACTGCCTATCACCTACAGAATCAGGTTCAGGGAATTTTTTGTTGCTATGAAGGTGTGATTCTCAGAAGTCATTTGGAAGCAACCTAAGTTCTCAGCAGCAACAATCGACCCTGTACTGTGTCAAAGCACATCAAATGGTTGGCATTCCAGGCCTCCAACAAACGGGTTACTTCTCATTATGTGAATTCATAATGAAAGGATGTGGGCAAAGAACAGAATGTAAATTGGAAGCTGACTTCTGAATGCATTAGGCAGCAGTCCTAGGCTGAAACAGTTGTTCTGATTTCAAGAGACAATTCCAAAGTGGTTCTCAGGAGAAAGGACAAGGTATTTCTCAAATATTTGTTCAATGTGAATGGACTGGGCTTGCCAAAAATGACTCTTTATGCTGGCACGCGATCTCTTAGAGGGAAGTCAGCCTGAGTCACTGGATATAGAAGTACAGTCCAGTGAATGGAATTACTGAGGGCTGTACGGCAAGCCAGATACCTGCATTCATCTGCCCACTGCTGGGATTGCAGCCTCCTTTTAATTGCATTAAAGCAGCTGGTAACACTGGTTACTGAAGTCCTCAGATTACCTTGATTGCTCGGTCATTATCTCTAATCAGCTGCTTCTTCTCATCTTCAAACTTTTGTGTAAGATCCTGGAGCCGCCTCTCTGCAGCAAGCTGCTGCTGGGTGATCTCTTCTTTCAGAGAGGAAATGGTTGTCTGAAGTTCTGCTATGATCTAAAATGAAAACAGCATGCTATGACTTCAAATTCCTCAGTGAGAAGCATCTATTTGATATGTATTTATGCTTAACAAAAGAATGGATTTGGCAAAACTCTATGCCACAAACTAAATATTTTCAATCAACATATCATACACTATCATGCATGAAATTCCACACAATAAAAAGATTATAATAAAACTGTGAATGGTGAACAACTGGTGAACCGAGTATATTTGGAAGGCGTTTCTACTATAACATTCCACAATATTTACTCATCAGAAGAGAGGACATGTGTGATCTCAAAAGTATGAAAAGCATCAGATTTTATTTTACTGGGAAATATATTTACTAAAGTGCGAAAAACTCTTCTGCCTGTCATAAGACTTTGAACTATAATAATCAAAGAAAATAATTAACAGCGGTCACTCCTCAGGGTCACCTAGTTCTATACAATAATTTTTGACTATTCATGTTTGTGTAGTGGGTTAAGTACTTTAAACTCATGTCATTTACTACTGTGAGAAAGTATTATTATTTCTTCTCTTCTGTAAGCAAGGACACAGGCACTGAGAAAGGTCAAATATTTTACCTCATGGAAGACGACACGCCGCTGAGGGGACAAGAAGGTCTGAATCACACAGTCAGATCCATCTCTGCACTAACTGGTTCTTCTAATTAGCTGACTACGTGTTCTGTTTCGAACAAGATTTCGGTATTGAAAAGATTATATTTTCAAATATGTTGCCTTCCTAAGTGACGTGTATTTGCAGAAGTTCATCTTGGTTCAAACAGGAGCCTTCTCTACACTGAAACTGCTTCTTCCAGGGCAGGTTTTCCTCTACCTTTCCAAACTAACCTCCTGAGAAGGAATTCTGACTTTCAAGGGCCTGCGGAGAGCACTGCCCTTCCTTCAGTTTGGACAGATCTGTTTCCTTTCAAATTCAATAGTGATGACTTTTTAAAAGCAGGAAATGGTTGTTTCTTTTAATAAAAGAAATAGTGTTAGCCCTGTGTGAGGATAATATTCTGCTGGTTCTACAAGACAGGAGGACACAGTTAATGAGAAACAGTGGACTAGTTAGTTATCTTTCTTGAACTCAGGGTTTTCAATTAGTATTTGGTGAAAAACCAAATCACAGAATCATGTGATAATAAATTGAAACTATGTGGAGTATCCCAAAAGCCAAGGCCTACTGGCGTATTGGTTATTACTACTGATGTAAAAATAGCATCCTTACAATAACATATGGAGTATGTATGCTCTTGGAAGTACACAAACTAGATGTAACAAAGCTTAACACTTCGAACTTGTAAATAATCAAGTAATATGGTAAGTGTGCAATGATACAACACAGAACAGCATTAAGTTAAAACTAAATGCAAACTAGGACTTCCTACTACGAGTGGAACAATTCATTTACTGAGAATAGAACAGTGTTCATATGTTTTCTGCATTCTGGTTAAGTGTTTCCATTCTGGCATCAATCCAATTAATGCTCATAGTGTTTTCGTTAAGTAGGAAAGGTTAAATTCTTATGGTCAATGTTAAAATCTTAAGCACAGAATAATCAATTCCCAGTCACAGAGCCAGAGGAGGTAGAGATAAGAAAGAACCAGTCTTCTTTGGCCTAAAATATAAATTCAAGATTGATATTTTATAAGAACACAGAGCCAAACAGGACAAAATAACAATATTTAAGTGTTTCAAAATGAATAAACCATAATGCTGTAGGTGTCGGTGTAATTCTAGAGCATGTGTGTTTAGTTCTAAACAATTTTTATCACATGTAAATTCATATATCCCCAACTAGTCATGCAATCTATTCTTAAAGTACAAAATAATCTTTCCCCTAGAAAAAAAACCTAGGAATGAGATTAGCATAACTGACCAAAGACTGATGTTAAAAAAATATTTGGGAGTATTTTAAATGGTCACAAGGGCCTGAAACAGGTACAGCTCTCATTTTCAGAAAATTAGGGCAATAGTACACAAAAAAGAAGTAAATGCAGATTTTGGAAAGAATTACAAGAGAAGTCCGGGATGTTCTGAGGAGGGCATGCTTGCTTTTGCATGGAAAATGAAACCTTACCTTTTTTGGGGGAATAATGAGATTCCTATGGGGAAAATAATGAGAGCATATTTGGAAATCTATTTTTAAAACTTTAAAGGTGACATAAGGGAATGTCAAAACACTGCAGGTAAAATACCTTGGCTAGACAATTTGCAAACAGAGAGGCAGCAAAAATAAGAATGACTTTTTTTTTTTTTTTTTCAAAAACAAGATTTAATATTTACTTGCAGACTGGGAAATAGTCATAGGAATCAGATTAACACATATGCCTTGGGTAGGGAACAAAGTGTGGATCTTTAGGTTTGTTCATTGTGGATGTAGAGTATAAGAAAATAGATTATTATAAGGAGTATCAGAAGCAATATTAGAGCAGGCATATGATCAGCACTCCATTTAAGGAATTGGACTATAATCATGGTAAATAAGAGAAAAAAATCATCTCCTGTAAAGGTATATTGAGGTAATCTAGCCTTTTCACACGATAGTAATGTAAAGTTTCTGAGAAAAATGAAAGTGAATACACACAATCATAAACAAATCTTCCAATTTTGATTAAAAAATTTCACCACTCAACCAAATGTTTACCTCCTATTAGCTTCAGAGAAAAAAGTGAATTAGAGCATTCTCATATAGGTATCGAAAATTATTGGTAATTTTGGCAAACCAAGAGCTTTTTTTTTTTTTTCCAGTACTGGGAATTTAACTCATGAACTTGTGGTTGCCAGGCAGATGTTGTGCTGCTGAGCTAAATTCCTGGCCTCCCAAGAGCTATTTTGGACTGATAGTGTACTTAACTTGTGAAAATAATAATGGTAATATCTGTAACAAACACTTTACATAAATGTTAGGAGTCTTATGTGAGGACTTCAGAAGAACAGATACTAAAGGTTAAATTTCATTTTTAACTCATTCCATTGTTTTTAAGATTGTAGTATAGCTTGAGATTTTTCTAAAACGTTTAAAAATGCAATGGATAAGCCGAGCAATACTTAGGAAGGTTAGCGGAACGCTGAAAGCCCTCATCAAGTAAGGGAGACAGTGGCTCCTCACTGCCCGTCTTTCTTGGTGGCCTTTGGCGAGTGACATGAAGTTGAGAAGAGTGGAGTATGGGGCATATTCCTGCCCGAGTAAAAACCTGTACCAGGCAGAGAAGCCAGCATGAAGCAGGAGAACCACATCTTTCAGTAGTGGGTGGGTTCTGGGTGGCATCCCAGCTTTGGTCCTTTCTACATTTTCAACTACGCATGTTCCTGTAAAATGGTATTACCTTTCTTTGAAAAATGATTGCTAGGTGACTAAGGGAAGTAGAGAAACTGCATCAAAAGGTAAGTTTAACATAATTAGCTGAAACGAACAAATGTGCAATTGGGATGGGAATGACTTCTGGGAGTGTGTCCGCAGATGATGCAAAGATTGCCCTCACGGTGATGATGAGGAGCTCAGAGGGACACCGTCCTCAGATGTGCCCAGGCTTTAGTACATGGTCTGCTGGTCGGAACGGTGTGGCAAAATCTTCAAGATTCAGTAACTTCCTTTGGAAGAGGGAAATATTTAAAGTATTTTCCAAATTTGACCTCATGCCTTCCTAAGTGCCAATGCATGCATCACTAGTGCATTCATTTTATTCCTTTTTATTTTGAGAGAGGAATTTTTTAAAAAAACTGATAGAGCACAAGTTTGCTTCTGGCATTCTCATCAGTTGGATGAGACAGGGGTTAAGAGATTCCAGCAAACTAGCACTTAAAAGCAGAAAAAGTCAATCCATGGTTCTGTTTGTTAATGTTCATGTAAAAATAATCTGTTTCTCAAAACTGATTTGCAGTATAGATTAATGTTGTGCAAATGCCCCTTAAAGGTTATAAATACCTACAGATAATACATAGAAATATTTATAGGTATTCAGGAGTCAGAAACAAAATATTATCAATGTAAGGTTATCATCCTTTTAGGAGGACAGCCTAGCTTTCATTATGTTTCTGTACTCTTTTTAGGAATTTTTTATCTTGTACTAGCCTTCCATTTGCGAAATGATAGTTACAGTGTATGATAGTTGTTATGGTTGTTTTTACACCTCCTTCTCCTCATGTCTCTACCTGGGAAAGAAAATAGCAACCCTATGCATCTTCACATTTGGCAGAGAGATTTTATTAGTTCTTGAATAATTTCTGCTTTCTTCCTAACCTTTTAAAATTCTTCCCTCCTTCCTTCCTATCTCTACTGCAACTTTTGTACTGCTACTAAAATTACTAACCGCTTTAGTATGTACTAGGTAGTGTACTAAACACATCTTCAGCACTGTTTTACTGAATAGTTAAAACTACCTTGTGAGGTAAGTACTGCTCTCTAATTTGAAAAGTGAAGAAACCGAATTCCAACGAGGGCAGGTAAAGTGGCTCAAGGTCATGTAAGTGGTAGGACTGGTATTCAAAGCCAGGTCTGCGGACTCCAAAGGTTAGGCTTTTCTCTCTACTAACTTACATTTAATTTGCTTTAATGTCATCTAATCATGCATTCCTTCAGATAAACTTAAGTAGTCCTATTTACACTCTCATTATTCAAGCATTTTTATTAGCTATCTTATTATATCTTACTCTCAGCCTGACTCTCCCATTGAACATAGAGCAAAATAAGCAAGGATGTACATGTGTGCCAGCTGGAGATTTCTCATCTTGTAGTTTAAACTTTAATTTTGGGAGTAGTAAGATTTCCTCTGACTGTAAGAGTCTTTTCAGTGGATTAAAAAGGACATTTATGTGATCACCATCTCTTACGTAGGGCTGGGGATTTACCTCAGCGGCACAGTGCCTGCCTGGCAAGCGCAACGTCATGAGTTCGATCCCCAGTACTGGAAAAAAACCAAAAAAACAAAAACAAAAAAAACACCAAGAAACCATCTCTTATATAAACATGTACGACTCTTCATTTAGACAAACTGTTTAAACTTTCCTAGTGGGATCAAAATGATATAACAAGCACATTTTAAAAATAGTTATAGAATTGACATTCCCTGACAACTATCGCCAAAGTTTAATGTATAAAAAAATGTAAGGGGTTGGGCCAGACTTCCAATGTCAAGGTTCAGAATTTCCACTTTGAAGTCAGATCGAGGCTGACTCGCGGCTTAGTCATTTGTGAACTTCCGTGATCTAATCTCTCTGAGTCTCACTTTTCTCCACTGGAGAAATGGGAAGAATGACAGTTCCAAACCTAGAGCTACTGTGAATGAAGACTGAATGAATCAACAGACTTAGTTCCATAAGTGTTAAGTGTTGTTATTATTTTGTGGTGTGGTTGGTCATAATATGTGCTAACATGAACTGATACACACATTTCAGCTTACTCCACATACCACTGACTACATATAAAGATACTAAGATTTAAAAATCATGAGATGTGAAGCTTACAAAACTAAATGGCTTAATTTATCCATCTGCAGAATGAAAATAAGTCATCCTTGTTTGTTCTAGGATTATTCACACAACTAAGGAATGCTTGAGGTCCCCCAAACGATACTGTTGGACAACATTATAACTATTTATGCGGAAAAAAGTACTCTGAGCTCATACTTCAAGAGACAAGCATTCCAATATTGGTCTTCCTCACAGTAAACAAAACTATAGTGAACAACACAGACAACAAGATACAGATATGGGAGCTTAATTCTTCTTCCTCCCAAAAGAAGTCAGCAGCTGAGCTGCCCACTTAATCACAGAATTGTCACCTTGAAGTATGTTGACTCAACGTACTTCAGTAGCCTTTAGGTGCAGCGAAGTGGAATGCTGCAAGGAGGCCCAGATGGTATCAAACTGCTTATATCACAAACGTATCTTCTGCCCCTGTGAAATGGGTTTCAGTCTGGGCTTGTTCAAATGCACAGGCTGGTTTTACAACATCTGAGTTTGTGTGTGTGTGTGTGTGTGTGTGTGTGTGTGTGTGTTGTTTAAATGGTTCAATATTCCTAATTCTTCTTGATTTTTTAAAATAAGACTGAAATATTAAAAAGCATATTTTATTTATTTATACATCCATCAAAAATATACTAACTCCTATGAGAAACAGAGAAGAATTTAATTCTGAAGCCAAAGGCTCTGATGTGTCCGATTCATTTCTGTTGCTTTTGCTGCTTCTTACCTGCGAAGACTTGGCAAGCTTCTGGGTGTATTCCTTCTCGATCTCCTTCAGCTTGCTGTTGGCCTGAAAAACACACGGACACGAACACACACAGAGTGACCTGTGAGCTTGGTATCTCTTCCACATGCCGATCACTAGGCAGCTGGGACACCCGCCAGCAGCACCGCCCTTCTGGGGCAGCCAGAAAACCACAGGGCTTGTCTTTGATCTGGTGCCAACTATTCATCACTTAAACAGAAAAAAAAAAAATCTCTCCTGCCAATTATTAGACAAACACAAGACTTCTGTGGATAGAAAGAGAAAGCGAGGAGAGAGGCAGAAATAGAAAGAGTCACAGCAGGTAAAGGAAGGAGAAGAAAGGAGAAGCAGAGGGCAGGAGAAACTTCGAGAAAGAGAGGACGGGAAATTAGAGGCGAAGGAGGAAAAGAGTGTGATAAATTTAACAAGCTTTCATTTTGGTTTAAAAATAAAAGAACTGGGTGCTTCTGGGCAAAGGCAGATATGAGCATTTTAGAGTCACTCAGCAGAGTTGAGCCCTCGCTCTGCCTCACACAGCTATCTTTTGAAGTGGCAAGTATAATCTAAATAAAGCAATTGTATGTCCCCAAACAGGGGCGACTTTTCCCAAACAAGTCTACTTGCTTGGAACGTATTTCCTGTCACTCAAGTTCCGATCCTTTGGCTGTGACCCGCTTTCTGCTCTTTGGAAGTGCTTGGGATCTTCACTCTCCCCTTTGTGCACAGGAAGGGCTCAGAGACCTGCGCCAGAAGAGGCCTTTTTGTGTCCATCACGGGGGCTTCTGTCCTTCATCTCTGGGAGAAGTTCGGTCACTGGTCTCATAACTGCCTTGCATCTGTCAGCCTTCCCTCACCCGCTCTCTGATAGTTGTACCTTTTCGGTTCACGTTCTTTCCTTTTTTCTTTCTTTCTTGGTACCGGGGATTGAACTCAGGATCTTGCGCTTGCCAGGCAGGTGCCTGTTATCTTTTTGTCTCTACTTTCCATTCCTTTGTCCTTTTTGTTTCCCTTAGGGTTTCTTCAGGTTTTACTTTGAAACTTTCTACTGGATCTTAAAAAAAATTCTTCTCCTATATTCATAATTTCTAAAGGATCCTTTTTTGTTCTCTGAACAGCGTCACACACACCCTCATTTTTACAAATGAAAAAAACCTGAGGCACAGAGAGGTTATGCAACCTGCCAGCATCACACAGCTTGGAAGAGAGCCCCGACTCGGCCCGTCACACATGGCCTGGCTGCAGTGCACGGTACCCCTGCAGGTAGAGCACAGCGCAGAACGGCTGCCCCACAGAGCAGAACGCATATGCTTTATTCCTCCTGAGAGATTTTTTTCAATACCGGGGATTAAACTCAGGGTCTTCACACTGCCACACTGTGGTGCATCCTCAGCCCTTTTCACTTTTTGTGTTGAAATAAGGTCTCATTAAGTTACTAAATTGTGCAGGCTGGGCTCAAACTTAAAATCGTCCTGCCTCAGCTTCCCAGAGTGCTGGGATTATAGGTGTGTGTCACCATTCCTAGCTATTTTTTTCCTGGTGCCAGGGATTGAGCCCAGGACATTTGCAATGAGCTATACCCTCAGTCCTTTTATGGATTATAGTAACTAATTAATTTGGTGCAAGGTCTTGCTAAGCAACTAAACTACCCAGGCTAGGGTTGAATTTGAGATCTACCTGCCTCAGCCTCTGGGAGTGCTGGGATTATAGGTATTCCCATTATGCCTGGCCCTCCTTATGAGGTTATTAATGTCATACAAAATTTTTTCTGCTTACTAGTGTGTATTTTTTTCTGTTCTTTTTATATTTGACAGCCTGTTTTGGTCTTTGTCTTTCAGTTTAGCTTCTTTCCTTATCATTTCGCTGTCCTTTCTAGTTCAAAGGGAGGCCATCTAAAGCTGACCAGAATGTGCTTGGATGTGTACGGGCTGTGGGTGGAGGAGGTCCCCACAGGGTGGCACAAGGGCGCCTGGCCTCTCCCGTGCCAGGCCCTGCTGGGGCTTTCTTCTTGGGCCAGCGTGCCCACCGCCACGTCCTCCAATGTACTGCCTGTTGGCAAGGGTCTGGCTCCGGTGCTTTCGGAAGGGCGCCAAAGCCTGTCTTCATTTCTGTCCTCAGCCATGCCCAAGTCCCTGTCTCAGGCCACTTTTCCAGAGGGCAAACGTGGGGCAAGGGAGAGGGCAGCCGTAGGATTAGCTGTACCTTCTGACTGCTCCTTACGCAGACTTCCACCCTCATCCCCCGGTTCCCCACGCCCTGTCCTTCCTACTCCCTAACCCAACTGGAAGGATCTTGCAGTTCCTAACCGGCATCCTCTAGACTCCCATTCTCTGAGAAAATGTTTGCGCTTTGGAAGACTGAGATCCGCTAAGTCCATCTCAGGCGAAGATTCTTCTCAAGGTCAAAAAGGCTGGTGATTTTGTGTATGCACTATTGTCTCCCTGCTTGTTCCCTTTGTGAAAATTATACTGTAAAAATATTGATGCCTGGGTCCCATCTTGAGGTTCTGATGTCATTCATCTAAGGTACAGTCCAGGCGCTGCAGTTTAAAAAATCTTGGAAGCTATTTCTAATGTTCACCCAAGGTTAAAAAATCATTTTTCGTGTCATTTTCAATTGGATTTCTTCCATTTTAATGGGAGTTCCTCAGGCAGTGGAGATAAACAGGCAAGTCCTGTCCATTCTATTAAACTGGCAGCAAATGCTTTCTTCATTCGGACAGCACCGCGGGCCGAGGAGGCGGCCCTCTCCGGGCTATGGTATGCAGCGCGAAGGCTGAACTGGTAATTGCTGGCTAACTTTCTGTCGCTCCCACTCGACTGTGAGATCCTAGAAGGCAGCTGTGGCTCCTGACACAGGGCTTGCTGCATTAATGTTTGCCTAACGAGGGAAATTATATCTTACAACCCTCTTCCTTTTCCATCACCTAAGCCCACCCCCCTGAAGTAATCCTTCCATAAACATGTGTCTCATGAACTTAAGTTTCAAAGCAATTCTTCAGAATTTGTCCCATAAACCTCCACGTCTATAATCTCAATGAACACAGGGTAGTTTTGCTTTTTCCAGAGTAAAGAGGGCATGTAACTACTGCTATTTTTTAAAGTAAGCTGTCAGACCCCACTCCAGCTCTGTGATGAATAAGGCCACTCTCCATTATGAAGTTAGGGCCACTCTCAACCTCTTGAGGTTTTTTGGTCTTGGTTCACATTCCGTCAATGTTATTTATCACAAAATGCTTGATGAAGTATTTGTTGCTTTTAAAATAAACTCTTACAGAGCTCTTACCATGTGCCAAGCGCTGTTCTTAGTATTTTAAAAATATTTACCCACTAGAAAATCTAAAAACAATGTCATAAAGATTACTTTTCCCTGAAGCACTTGGCATCAGAGGTGCGAGTTAGTGTGGGAAGGCCTCAGTCTCTGATGCAGCCACTCTACAGGAGCTGTGGCAGCCAGCACTGGAATTTCACAAACCTAACCAGTTTCTTTACAGCTAAATGTCCAATCCACTCATCCACTCTTGGATAATAATACTGAACAAAACAGACAAAGATCTCTTTCTGCCTTTCCAGAACTTCTAGCCAAGAGAGTGAAAAATAATTTCCAAAAGTAATATTTTGCATGGCGTGATTGCCATAAAGATAAAGCAGGCACAGAAGATAGGAAGTAATGAAAAGCAGTGGGTATTTTATAATTTTTCAAAATATACAAGTTCTAGAAGGCCTCTAGACTCCCGTTCTCCACGAAAATGTTTGCACTTTGAAAGACTGAGATCTTGAGAGGGTTAGATATGAACAAAAACCTGTAGAAGGGGAAGAAGTTATGAAATACACTCAAGGGAAATACATTCCAGGCAGAAGAACAGTCAGTGCAAAGGCCCTGAGGCACAGGCATGCATGGATAGTGCAGACAGCAGTGTGGTTGGATCAGTGAGTAATGACTCCCTCAGAAAAGACACATTCTGAGGAAGGAGGAGGCAGCTCGGTAAGAATTTGGCTTTTAATGTGAGTAAATGGGGAGACAACGAAGGGTTTCATTACAGAAGAAGCACATACTCAAGACTTAGGTGCCAATAGGATCATTCTAGCGTTTGGGGGGTAAGATTCAAGGAAAGAAGCCAGTTAGGCTACTGTAAATCACCCAGGACGGCAACAGAGAAGGTGGGGAGAACCGCTCAGATTTTGAGAAAAACTTGAAAGTGGAACGGACTGGGTGTGCAGCATGATAGGAAGACATGAGTTCAGAAGGACTTTGGGAGTTCTGTCCTAAGCAGCCAGAAAAATGAGGCTGCCCCTGCCTGCCATGGGAAAACTGGGGGTGGAAAACGTTTTGGGAGGAAGATCACTTTTGGATACATCAAGTCCAGAGATAGCTGTGAAACATCCATTGCAGAGGTTTGTGGGTACTAAAGTGTTGGGTTTAGGGGAGAAATGGAGATTAGAAGTATAAACTCCAAGGCCAGCAGTATTTATGCCTGAAACCAGATGAGATTCCCCACACTAGGTGTGCAGCAAAACAAGAGACTTAGGTATACGAAGCCCTGGGCCTACACACGCTCAGAGCTGGGGAAATGAGGAGGGAAGTTACAGGCGTAACAGCCAGAGAGATCGGGTATGACACGGAGTCCTGAGCCATGTGAAGGACTGTGGCCAGGGGCCGGTGCACTGCGCCAGATACGACGGACAGGCCGCAGAAAGACAGACTACCCATGGCCGCACGGGTCTGGTAACATGGGGACAAAGATGAAATAAATTCTGATGCACTAGGAGAGGTGAACGCTGGACAGGGCAGGGGTTCAAGACAAAGAGAAGGGAGCCGTGGAGTAGAATAGACTATAGATTGCTTAGAATTTTATCAGGAAGGGGAGGAGAGTAGGGGTGGGGGTTGCAGGAGAAGTGGGCAATGGAGGGCTGGTCTGCTTTGCTGTGTTTTTGCTTTGTTTTTGTTTGGTAAGATCAGAGGACTCATCGCATGTCTGTAGGTTCTTGGGATTTAACAGTAGAGAGGTAACAATAAATAGTGCTAGAGATTTACTGAACACAGGCCTT